ACATGTATATTTTCATAAAATAAAATCAAAGTAATTTTGGTCCATCAAACCAACTATCATAAATTTTTATACAAAAAAATATAAACTTTCATTATTAAAATAAAATATTAATATTAAAATATAACAATTTTAAAAATATTAACGTGAATGTTTGAGAATATCAATAAAAATATGTAATATTTAATGAAAAATATGTAAAAAGTATCATATCAATTTAAAATATTTTTTGCTGAATTTAAAAATTAAAAATAGCCTTTTCAAAAATCTTAATGTAAACTTACGAGAATAAGAATAAAAAAAGTATGTAATATCTAACATAAATTAAGCAAAAGGTGTTGTAATCAACTAAAGATAATTTATTGTAATTATAAATATTAAAAATTAACATTTTTAGAAATGTTAAAATAAACATGTGACAATAAGGACAAAACTACGTAACATCTAACATAAAATGGGTACAAAGTGTTATGATAAAAAATTTCCCTTCCCAAATAGTTACACAAGGGTCCACAATCAAGCTAAGAATCCTTCCAAAAGCGTGTAGAATGACCATTACAGATGCTCCTTACGAATCCTTTCTCTAATACTGATCTCCATTTTAAGATGCTTTTTCAGAGGTGAAGGTTGGAGGGTTTCATCTTTATCTACATGAAATCACTTCATTTAGGAGATTTTGGCTTAATAATATGCACCCATAGGCATTTTTCATCCATTAGTAAATGCCATCCTAATTTAGCCAATAAAGCTAAATTAAAATGTCTTGCATTTCTAATTTGAAGTCTTCCTACCCCTTTTGACGCACAAACCTTTTCCTAGCTAATTGGGTGGCATTTACAGCTTCCTCCAAAATGACTGTAAATAAATTCCCTATTCATCTTGTCCATCGCCTCTACAGTTTTCTCAAGAAGAAATGAAATCTACATACAGAAAGTTGAAATTGCGCTCGTAGCAGACTACACCAAGGTCACTCATTCGGTCAGTGACACCTGCTTGTTACTCCAATGCTCCAATTTCCTTTTAACTTTGATCACCGATTCAATATAAGTGTATATCTGATGAAACTCTCCCATGAAGTAATGGTATACCCAGATACTTACCTAGATCATTAGTCAAAGGAATTCCAGCTGTGCTGCTTAACCTTCTTACTCTCCCTAGATTAACATTATTAGAGACAAAAAGTCTAGATTTCTTTAAAGTCACTTTTTGACCTGAAAGCTAAACAGAATCTATTTAACACTTGCATGCGTTATAACCTACACTTATTGGTTTGATGCTTCCCCAAATAACATTAAATCATCTGCGAAGCAAACATGTGACAGATAAGGACCGTTATTTAAGATGGCTAATGGCTTCCAATTTCCATGTCTGACTTCTTCAAGTGCCAAATAAGAAAGCTTTTCTAAATAGAGAAGAGAAAGATATGGAGACAATGGATCTCCTTATCGTATACCCCTGGTTGTGGTAAATAAGGCAGTACATTGATCATTATAGATAACAGAAAAAGATGTTGATTTCACAATAAACATGATAAGACTAACCCAAGACCCTAGCAATCCAATTTCTTCAAGGACTTCCCAAATAAAGTTCCACTTAAGCTTATCATAGGCTTTTTCTGAGTCTATCTTAATGGCCAATGCACTTGTTTTCCTCTTCATAGACTTCATTGTATGAATGGCTTTCCGCACAACAATGATATTGTCAGTGGTGTCTCCGCAATATAAAACTACTCTATGTCTGAGCTACCAAATCTCTTAGCAAAGGTTGCAATCTGTCAACTAAGACCTTGCTAATTAATTTTAAGGGCACTGCACATAAGCTGATAGGCCTAAATTGAGAAATTTGCTCAGGTCGCTCTATTTTTGGTATTATGGTAATTAGCGTGTGATTGAGTTCTTCATTGAAACAACCACCTACAAAAAACTTTTGGACAAATTTACCTAATTCATGTCCTACTATTCTCCAAGTTTCTGGATAAAAACTTGGTGGAAATCCATCATAATCTAGACTCTTACTGGGGTGCATGTCAAACATGGCCCTTTTAACCTCGTCAGCAGTAATCGGTTTTGCTAGAGTAGAGACTTGAATGTCATCAATTTTCCAAGCAGAAAAAGGATTCAGAGGTGTCTTAGTACCGTCATCCAAATACAAGTTAGAATAAAATTGCACCACTTGATGCGTCATATCATCCTCATATGTGCACCAAGAGTTTTCATCTATTTTTAAGGCACAAATCTACTCTCGACATTGTCTTCCTTTCGAAATCGCGTGATAAAATTTTGAATTCCCATCCCCATAGTGTAACCAGTCCATCTTTAACTTCTGTTGCCACATAATTTCCTCTTGGTATAAATTAAGGTTGTACTCCTCCACTAAAACCACTTCCAAGTTACTTAGGAAATCATTATGCCTCATATCCAGCTTTTGATGGATGCCACTTAGCCTAGCAAATATACTTCTTTTGCATTTATGGAGATATCCAAAGGTTTCAAGTTTCCATTGAGTAAGTGCATTTGCTAGATGTCCCAATGTAGATGGCACAGAAACATCAGCAGTTCTCCAGTTGTCTTAAACAAATGTCGTAAATTCAGGAGGCTCCATCCATGCATTTTCAAATCTAAACTTATTTGGTGAGCGAAGATTTTAAGATGTTTTCAGACAGTGAACCAATACAGGGTGATGTTCCGAATAAGTCTTAAGGTAAATTGATCGCTTCTAATTGAGCGTACAATGTACACCATTTAGCATTGGCCACAGCTCTCTATCCAACCTCTCCCTTATAAAATTAAAACCATCATGCCGCTTACACCATGTATATTGTGAACCAGATGACCCAAGATCTAATAAATTACATGCAATTAACCGTCTAGCATTTAAGTACAATGAGCTATATTAACACCGATCTGCCTACATTTTTCCTCCGAACATATGACCTGATTGAAGTCACCTATAGCCATCTAAGCTAAATTGTGCAAAGCACTGGGCAACTTTAGTGATTGCCATAACAATTTCCTTTCTTTTACTTTTGGGCTTCCATAAACTGTTGTTAATAACCATTCATCATTCCCAAATTTTATCAGCATGTGGACTAAGTGTGAAAAATAGGCCAGAATATCAACCTCAATGTTCTTTGTGTCCCATAAAATCCATATACCCCTAGAAAACCCTATAGCTTCCACTCTAAAACAATTAGGTAAGCGTATACATTTGCATACTGTATTAGCATTTTCATCCGAAATCCAGGTTCCAAAATAATGATTATATTCAGCCTATATAATTGAATCAAAGTCCTAATATTTCTCACACATCTACGAGAGGATGCTCCTCTCACATTCCTACTTAAGATATTCAACATAATTAAAATTTTTCAAAGAAATTAGGAGTCACAATGGGCCACCACCAAAATTAAACCTGCATAATGTCCGTTACCTCCTCATCAAATTCCTTCCCACCTTCAGATAAATATTTTGAATTGTCTCTTTCTCTCGAGCAATGCCATTCACCTCTACTAATATCGGTTCCTCCATCATAATATGAATGGTAATTGATGGAAGATAGGTTGCTTGGTCATGTCCTGTATTAGAATTTCCATTATTCCCTTCACCCCTCTAAGCAACCAACATCCCATTATGTGCAGAGACAATTTCCTCCGTTGGCTTACTCATGACTAGCTTATTTATATTTTCAAAGGAAACAACTCGAACCGCATGCAGTGATTTTTTCCTTTTCCTTTGCACTGGTTGAAGTTAAGCTTCTATTAGAAACCTGAGTTGCATTTTGGAGATTCTACTATAGGATATCTTTATTAGTCCCACACTCCTTTTCTTCCATGTTTTTGGTAGAAATAGGCTTAATAGTTACAGGCACAAACTCCTCAACCTCCATGTTATTCTACTCTTCTTCTAACACTGTAAAGCAAGAACCAGCATGGCGTACTTGTTCTAAACTTTATTCCTGAATGCCTACTTTGGTTTTGGGGATGGGTGCTTTCCTGTAAGTTTTTTTAGCAACCATCCAAAGACCAAACTTGCTAGTTTCACATTCTCGTGGCATACCCCTTCTAGACTCATCCAAATTTAAACTGTCATTAACAGATGTATTACCATTAACCTCCCATTTAGTAAGACATACTTTAGTGTTGTGCCCAAAATGACCACATTGGAAACACACCATTCGCAATCCCTCATATGCAATTCTTGCCATTGTCCGCCGATAAACAGTTTTGGCACCAAAGATTTCCTTAGATCCACTTCAACACACAGATACGAGCAAACCTACCCCTGGTTGTCTCTAACGTTGTGCGATCAATCTTCAAGGTTCTACCTATCTCGTTTCCTATTTTTGCTAGGACATCTCGATCATAAAACTCTAGTGGCATTCTTGGTAATCAAATCTAGACTGCGGCGGAATTGAATATGGCTTCCTCTGAACGAAATCCTAGAGTCCATTGCTTAATTGTGAGATGATGCCCTGCAACTATCCACGGTTCGTTTGTGAGAGCATGAAAGTAGCTGGACTTGTTGCTAAATAGAAAACAGTAGTATTCGTTGTCTAATTCGACTACTTGAAATAAGTAAACTTATAAAATCTATTTATTATAAAATAAGTAAGGGACGACTTGATTTTGCTAATATTTTAATTATAATATATTTATTTGTAAAAAATAAATAAAAACAAGCATAAAATAAGTAAGAAAAAGTATTTATCTTATCTATTAAATGAATGAAAAAATAAAAAGATATTTACTTTACTTTTCAATGTACCTGTTAACCTGTTTTAATATTTATTGTTTTTTAATTTTTCATTAAAAAAATCATATATACTGATCTTAAAGTTGATGTTTTGTGAAGGGTCAAACCGTAAATTCAATATGGGCAATCTAGTAATCGTCAGACGAATTAAGAAAGGACTGTTTGGTAATGCCGCAAGTTTCTGTCTCCTTACCCCGTCCGGATTCTCCAAGGCGAAAAAACAGGTCCCCACTCCCATATAAAAACGACAATCCAAACGTGACCCAATTCGATCATAGACTCGTAAGCCTCTCTCCCACCTAACCAGCCACCGAACCCATCTTGCCTCGTAATAATCACACGTCCGCCGCCCAATTGTACCTGTCGTAGTCGTCGCTGTAGCATGGCTTGTGTTAGCTTCGCCAAGCTAAACGCCGCATCGTCCCAATGGATCGGGGGCCAGCAGTCTTTCGCTCAACGCCCCGGATCGTCAACTCGACTCGCCACTCGCAGAGTCTCCGTCCCGATCCGTGCTGGCGCTTACACCGACGAACTCATCCAAACCGCCGTTAGTTCTTTATTTGATCTTTTCTTTTTTTTTTGTTTCCTTTTCCAGTATAATTTTATTTTTCGTGTTTTGTTGGTTGATGATCGATGCTTTGCTATGAAAAGCTGAGCATAGCCATATATTCAATTATTCTTCTTTGATCTGTAAATTGTATATGTTATATATGTTCCAAATATGTTTTACTTAAAACTCAGAACAATCATATTTTTAATTATAAAATATTAATTTTAATTATTTTACTTATTACAATTCTTACGTTTCACTTATATAAGCGGACAACACTAACAACCAAATGGCGTGTAAACAGTCTGTTTTCTG